ATTGTGTGTAGATGGCTGAGAGAAAAAAATATTGAATCCATTTTGAATTCAGGATGTAACACAACAAAAATGTGGAATAAGTCAAGGGGTATGAATACTTTCTGAAGGAACTGTATAGGACATTGTGCAGCGGCAACAGAGAAAGTGAGGACCAGACAGCCGATGTGAGTGCAAAATGAGCCAATAAGATAAGCTAAAAACAGAAAGACATTTTAAATCATAGCACAGATTTTTGTCAAACTATTCCAAAATAAGTGGTTGGTTTGGACAGAGGATAACATATCACCCATTGTCATTTGCCACCATATCAAGCTGTAGCAATTCCGCAGAGAAAGCATTCTCTGAATATCACCAGATCTCTTTATGCTTAACATACAACAACTAAATTGATGCTTAATATTAATAAATAATGAAAATCCACAGGTGAAGTTTCAAACATTGGTGTTAGATGTTTTATTCCATAAATAATGTACAGGGATTTATTTGACAAAAATAAGAAAGTAAAAAGGAATCAAACGTATGCACTGACAGAAACATTGGCACTGATCTAAGAAACAATGAAATGTAACATGAGTATACAGTAGAATAATACTTTTTAAAAAGCAGACAGCGATTCACATGGGTGATATGTACCAAAAATAAACCTGTATATCCATTTACTTCAAGTTCAAGTAGTGTGCTTGTCAGGTCAAGTCTTACATACAGTCAAAACAATGTGGGTATTTGTCAATATGAGGTCAGGGACAGGTCATGAATTGGCTGTTACAGAGAAATAAGGCAGGAGATTTGGTGAGTCAAAGGTCTCATGATATGTAGTCAATTGTATGTACATCAACAGTAAACCCTCACTATGTGCTGCTATTTGCCATATCAATCCAAATGGCTTTATTGCACAGTGACAAGCTACATCTCTATGAGAACTTTCAAAGTAATACTGATGTAATATTATACATCTATACAGACTACCAATACTATGCTTGCTACAGTGCCAAAAGAGAGGCAATCTTATGATAGTGAACAATTCTTGTTCTACATAGTATCTCCACAAATTACTCTCTCAAAGCTATAACTTTAGCAAACGATGACACCATTTACCATTCTGTCTCCTATGATTTACTGCAGATACAAACTTAAACCAACGACATACAGCAAAATTATAACAGATATAAATCTTAACACTTTAGATAAATGGCACCAATATCCATCTGGCTACATGATTAACATTTTTGTTAAAATCACAAACACTTACACAGCCATGTGTATAAGTTATAAACTATGTTTACAGTGCTGTATATGCTGTATCTATGGTATTTAGGGATTTACAGTATCCATGGCCATACGTGCAGAAGTCTCAATATAATTTATGTTTATATGGGTTCATTTGATACTGAATGGGACCTGAAAGAAACCCTTAAGTGTATGAGTTCTGTATATATGGTCATATGATATATGTATCTATGCATGTAAGGTATGCATACTCAATATATTTGTGTGCCTGAATGTAGGCCTACATACATACATGTAATGCTTCTGTTAATAAATGCTAAGTTTAATCTATTATTGCACATCTCGTAATGCTAAAATATTGCTATTGCAATAGATTAAAATAGTTAATTACATTGGTAATATCATAACAAAATGTACATATAGAATCTTAGTGTATCATTATTGGTATGGCTGGTACAGTACTGGGAATTCAATAGGGTATCGATAACGTTTAGATTAAAAAATAGTGTGCTACTCTAGCGTGTCTGATATTCTTTGATATAATATAATATAATCTGTCATATTCCTCTCAAGAAACATAACTGCTACTCTAGAGGCACTCGTCTAGCGGAACCAAGATAAATCACGAAAAAGCCTTTCAAAGAATATCTAAAGTCGTTACTAAGAAGAATGATGAATGAGATTTGAAAAGCAATGTTTTTTGAAATGTGGAATGTATGGTTAATTTTCCTTTTGGAGGACAGTGGATATAACTACTTGAGCCATTGAAATTGCTGGACACATACTTAATTAAAAAACGCAAATAGCATTTCTCATTCATTGACAGCATACAGTTGACGTCGGAAGTTTACATACCCCTTAGCCAAAGACATTTAAACTCAGTTTTTTACAATTCCTGACATTTAATCCTAGTAAAAATTCCCTGTCTTAGGTCAGTTAGAATCACCACTTTATTTTAAGAATGTGAAATGTCAGGATAATAGTAGAGAGAATGATTTATTTCAGCTTTTATTTATTTCATCACATTCCCAGTGGGTCAGAAGTTTACATACACTCAATTAGTATTTGGTAGCATTGCCTTTAAATTGTTTAACTTGGGTCAAACGTTTCAGGTAGCCTTCCACAAGCTTCCCACAATAAGTTGGGTGAATTCTTTGCCCATTCCTCCTGACAGAACTGGTGTAACTGAGTCAGGTTTGTAGGCCTCCTTGCTCGCACACACTTTTTCAGTTCTGCCCACACATTTTCTATAGGATTGAGGTCAGGGCTTTGTGATGGCCATTTCAATACCTTGACTTTGTTGTCCTTAAGCCATTTTGCCACAACTTTGGAAGTATGCTTGAGGTCATTGTCCATTTGGAAGACCACTTTGCGACCAAGCTTTAACTTCCTGACTGATGTCTTGAGATGTTGCTTCAATATATCCACATAATTTTCCTTCCTCATGATGCCATCTATTTTATGAAGTGCACCAGTCCCTCCTGCAGCAAAGCACCCCCACAGCATGATGCTGCCACCCCCGTGCTTCACGGTTGGGATGGTGTTCTTTGGCTTGCAAGCCATCCCCTTTTTCCTCCAAACATAACAATGGTCATTATGGCCAAACAGTTCTATTTTTGTTTCATCAGACCAGAGGACATTTCTCAAAAAAGTATGATCTTTGTCCCCATATGCAGTTGCAAACCGTAGTCTGGCTTTTTTATGGTGGGTTTGGAGCAGTGGCTTCTTCCTTGCTGAGCGGCCTTTCAGGTTATGTCGATATAGGACTCGTTTACTGTGGATATAGATAATTTTGTACCTGTTTTCCTCCAGCATCTTCACAAGGTCCTTTGCTGTTGTTCTGGGATTGATTTGCACTTTTCGCACCAAAGTACGTTAATCTCTAGGCGACAGAATGTGTCTCCTTCCTGAGCGGTATGATGGCTGCGTGGTCCCATGGTGTTTATACTTGCGTACTATTGTTTGTACAGATGAACGTGGTACATTAAGGCGTTTGGAAATTGCTCCCAAGGATGAACCAGACTTGTGGAGGTCTACAATTGTTTTGTTTTTCTGAGGTCTTGGCTGATTCATTTTGATTTTCCCATGATGTCAAGCAAAGAGGCACTGAGTTTGAAGGTAGGCCTTGAAATACATTCACAGGTACACCTCCAATTGACTCAAATTATGTCAATTAGCCTATCAGAAGCTTCTAAAGCCATGACATCATTTTCTGGAATTTTCCAAGCTGTTTAAAGGCACAGTCAACTTAGTTTATGTAAACTTCTGACCCAATGGAATTGTGATACAGTAAATTATAAGTGAAATAATCTGTCTGTAAACAATTGTTGGAAAAATTACTTGTGTCATGCACAAAGTAGACGTCCTAACCGACTTACCAAAACTATAGTTTGTTAACAAGAAATTTGTGGAGTGGTTGAAAAACGAGTTTTAATTACTCCAACCTAAGTGTATGTAAACTTCCAACTTCAACTGTATGAATCTGTCTTCAAATCTAGCAGCCATCCACTACTTACAGAATCCTCTAGATTACCTTGTCAACTGTAACAATGCCACAGCCTGGTTGCCATCACCCAAACTAACTTCGAAGAGGAAAGAGAACTTGTCATTTAGCAGCTAAGTTAGGTTTACTCTGTGTTCTCTTTACACATCATAAGATAGGGAAATACTATCAAACTGTGGTCGTTTGTAAAGATTGGTATTGTTCATCCTCATGTCAAGCTGTTATGGTGATGACAACAATATGTAATGTACTACCTTAGTCTTTGTTTCATGCATTTTTATCAAAAACACCAATAATGGCCTCATACTATATAGTGCAGATAGAAGTCATATGATGTCACCTTCCAGTCCACTATTGTGCTTTTCGATTCAATCTAGGTGAATCCCTCTCAGTTTAAGATTATTGGAATAATCACCACAGATGATGCAGGTAAACTACTAAAGGAAAAAAAACAAGCAGCATGTTTGATATACTGGTTAAAAAAAATGGCTGCCAAGTAGTGCAATAGCACAAAGGGCCTAAACATGTGTCTTTTGGGTTCTTTATGGGATTTGTTTCATAAAGTACAGCCAGGAACTGTCTCAGTCTTCATTCCGTTTCTTCTTCCCTGGAATGGATTAAAAAGTAGCAAAGTTCCCTGTGACGCTTATCTAACTTTCAATTGCAGATTATTAGAAGTAATGGACAAAAGCAAAACATTTACACAAATCGTTTCCTTTCTCAAGTTCCTCATCTCGAGTAAATCTGTCAACGTTAGTCAGAAGAAGAATGTTCGATGAACAATTTCCTACTGACTGGGTGAAAACCAATTGGCTAAGGTATCTGGATACAGACATGAATCATTCATATGAATGGCTTTCACTGTTCACCTCTCACCTTTCAAATGAGTGTGCAGTTAGTTTGAAACTGTCCCATTATATCCCTGCATACATTTGATTGTGCAAGTTGAGGCCTCCCCATTATTTCTCCATATATTATTAATGTATCTATTTCATAACTATACATTATTTAGACTATCTCATATATATTCATCAATATTCCCCAGATGATTTCCAAAAATCAGCACCTGCCTAAAGAAGATTAACTCTGTCTATGATTGTTGGATATTTCTTGGATTAAGGTAATCAGACATGGTAGTTCTCAACAATACATTAATTTATTTTCCTCACTCCATTTTTGTTTTCTCACTATCTCTCCACACCTGTCTTCTCTTTCTCTTCATCTCTACATCTCCGTTCTCCATCTCCTCCACCCTCCACCACCCCTCTTTTTACCTGTTGATTATTCCTTTAATTTGGGAGTCTTTCTCCACTTGCTGTTGCCGTAGCCTCCTCTCGCTGTCCTCCAGGCGACTCTGGTATTGTGAGAGGATCTTACTGGTCTGCTGCTCCTGGGAAAGGAGCCTCTTCTCATATTCCTCCAGCTTCCTGTGGGACATGATCAGTCGCTCCTTTAGGGAGTGGATTTCCTCCTCGTATTCCTTTACCTGAGACAGAAAGAGAGAAGAGAATGCATTGGAAATAGAAAATGGTTGAGCAATTGTCATATACATGGACATTTTTGGACTCTAGATTATCCCTTTTCACTTGCTCACTATGCACAAAGATCTTGCTATGTCTATTATGAAAATAGAAGGGAATATATTGAAAATATAAAAATAGTTGAGCAATTGTCATACTGTTTATTAGCAACACATGGCTAAGCAACCGACAAATGGTCTTGGGGGTTTGTCACGATCGTTATGAGATGAAGCGGACCAAGGCGCAGCGTGATAAGCGTACATACTTTATTGTGTACACACACGAACCAAAACAATAAACAAACGATACGTGAAGTCCTAGGTTAAATAACACAAACCTTAACGGAACAAGATCCCACAACGTAACATGCCAACAGGCTGCCTAAGTATGGTCCCCAATCAGAGACAACGAGCTACAGCTGTCTCTGATTGGGAACCACCCTGGTCAACATAGAAATACACGATCTAGAACGACAAACCTAGAAAACTAAACAAGGAAAAATCCACACCCTGGCTCAACATTTAAGAGTCCCCAGAGCCAGGGCGTGACAGTACCCCCCCCCCCCCCCCCCCCCCCCCCCCCCAAAGGCGCGGACTGCGACCGCGCCAACCAAACACAAGAGGGCAGGGGCCGGGTGGGCATTCCGCCTCGGCGGCGGATCCGGCTCCGGGCGTGACCACCACACTCTCTCTACCCCCCCGTTGCGCCCCTGGTCTGGTCTGGCCCTCTGGCCGGAGCTGGACTGAACACTGGTGGAGCGGATTGCTCTGGCTCCGGCGTGGAGCAGGCACGGACCGTGCCGGACTGACGACGCGCACCACTGGCCTGGTGCGGGGAGCAGGGACGGGCCGGACCGGGCCGACGACGCGCACCACTGGCCCGGTGCGGGGAGCAGGAACGGGCCGGACCGGGCCGACGACGCGCACCATTGGCTTGGTGCGGGGAGCAGGAACAGGCCGGACCGGGCTGGCGACGCGCACCACCGGCCCAGCGCGGGGTGCAGGAACGGGCCGGACTGGGCTGACGACGCGCACCACTGGCTTGGTGCGGGAAGCAGGAACAGGCCGGACCGGGCTGGCGACGCGCACCACCGGCTTGGTGCGGGGAGCAGGAAGAGGCCGGACCGGGCTGGCGACGCGCACCACCGGCCCAGCGCGGGGAGCAGGAACGGGCCGGACCGGGCTGACGACGCGCACCACTGGCTTGGTGCGGGAAGCAGGAACAGGCCGGACCAGGCTGGCGACGCGCACCACCGGCCCAGCGCGGGGAGCAGGAACGGGCCGGACCGGGCTGACGACGCGCACCACTGGCTTGGTGCGGGGAGCAGGAACAGGCCGGACCGGGCTGACGACGCGCACCACCGGCTTGGTGCGGGGAGCAGGAACAGGCCGGACCGGGCTGATGACGCGCACCACTGGCTTGGTGCGGGGAGCAGGAACGGGCCGGACCGGGCTGACGACGCGCACCATTGGCTTAGTGCGGGGAGCAGGAACAGGCCGGACCGGGCTGGCGACGCACATCACAGGCTTAGTGCGGGGAGCAGGGACGGGCCTGACCATACTGGGAACACACACCGCTGGCCTTGTGCGGGAATCAGGAACGGGCCGGACCGGACTGGTGACACACACCACTTGCTTGGTGCGAGGAGCGGGACTGGGTTTCCTCATAAACCTCCGCTCCCTCTGCTGCCTAACCAGTTCCTCTCGCCGTGCCTCCACACTCTCCTTCTCCCTCGTGACCAGTGGCCCCCGTCACCTGGCGGCCTCCTCTGCTAACCTGCTGAACCGCTCTATCGCGGCCTCCTGCTGCCTCGTCGTCCACGGCATGAGCCCCCCCCCTAAAATTTTTTTGGGCTTGTCTATCCCCCGTGAACATGGCCTCCATGGCTCTCGCCAGACTCTCACTCTTCTCCTCCCAAGTCCATCCTCTATCCTCTTCACGCTGCTTGATCCAGTCGTGGTGGGATCTTCTGTCACGATCGTTATGAGATGAAGCGGACCAAGGCGCAGCGTGATAAGCGTACATACTTTATTGTGTACACACACGAACCAAAACAATAAACAAACGATACGTGAAGTCCTAGGTTAAATAACACAAACCTTAACGGAACAAGATCCCACAACGTAACATGCCAACAGGCTGCCTAAGTATGGTCCCCAATCAGAGACAACGAGCTACAGCTGTCTCTGATTGGGAACCACCCTTGACTGAAACACACCTTCACTCGGACAAAGAAATGTGGTAATGCGGTCAAATATGAATATGCAAGCTAAAAGTTTTTTATTTTCAATGACTCACTGTTGTTCAAGTTCATCCTCAGCTGTTCCTATCTAAATTATTCATAAAGAAGTGTCTCGGTACCATCTGCTCTCCACTGATAGACTTGAATTGCACTTCCCTGACATCTGCACTGTGCATTAAGAAGGAGATATGACTCAGATCAGTGTTACGGTTCTCTAGTCTCACAGTTTGCTGTTGAATATGCTAAAGAGAAGAGAGAGATTCTGCATTCCTATGAGGCATCGTTTTGTTACTGTCGATTTCCCAGAAGATTGGGATTTCAATGCCAATGCTACAGTATATTGTTAAGACAATTATGTACTGTTTTCTATATATACACACACACATTGCCAATGTCAAATTAAGGCTACCATTCTTTTGTATTGCGAAAGCTGTGGTGGGAGAGATGTATCTACCCTGTCTAAGCGAGACTCATCCATGCTTTTGGAGTACTCCTTCAGCTTGAACTCCTCGCGGTCGATGCGGTTCGCCTCCAGAGTAATGTCAGCGGAGAGGTGAGGCATGTTGGAGACCCAGGCGACTGTTCTCTCATTGGCCGGGGTCGGGGGGTTAAGGGTCGAGGGCGACTGGCCGGAACCCTGGGGGAAAAGACAAGAAGCAGATATGAAGAGGATGAATATGTACTAGTACTAGCAGTGGTGTGTATTCATGGATGCCGAGGGAAGCCAGGCTTTCCCCAAAGAATTACTAAGAAAAAAAGAAAAAAACATATAACATAATGTATCTTTCGTCTCTCTGTGTTTTATAATTTTCCATCAATTCGTAAGAGGCTGAATATATCTCACTGGAGAAAGCATCCAAGCGAGCAAAACAGTGTCCCTCTGTCTCTGTATGTGTAGGCCATCTACCATATGCTGTCTGGTCCAAAAGAGTATGACATAGTTGCCGGGCATTTGGCTTTCCTTGATTAAAAAAAAAGTATAAAATAATAGCCAATCAGCGTTGTGCTAAACTGAGTGAGCTCAACTGTGAATGGTTCTGGCGCATCAAAAAAAGGTGTCAAAGGAAGCAAGTTTGGAATTGCCGTCACTCCTCTCAAATCGCATTGAGAGCATATGTCATTAAGAAACAACTTGAATTGTTGCATCTCGTTGTGTTGTTGTCCTCCGGTGGCTAGCTAGCTAGCTAAAGTTGTCCCTTTCCTAAATTAGCCATGGATTGAGATAGGGATTTGGACTGGTGGTTTGACTTAATTCTCTGTACTGGCCAATGCTTATAACGGCAATTCTGATCCAACCATTAATTCATACATTGTGCCCCTGGCCTGAGAGGATGGAAGTTGAATATGTAGCTAGATGTAGAAGGTTAATGTTAACTAGCTAATGTTGCTCATGAAAGAAAGTTAGGCTAGCGAGCAAGCATTTTAGCCAGGTAGCCTAGGACAACAAAAAATAAAAGCGTGTACTGTATGACAGAGTGATAGACTATTTCATCAACATGAAAGAGAGGAGGATAGCATTGGCGTTTCTCTACAAGTAGGGTGAGTCAAAATGTTTTTTCTACTTGCACGAACACACACGCATGTACACACACACACACGCACACAGAAATCAGAACCATGGACAGCCACATCATATTCAGCTTACGTTGATTGGACTAAATAGTTTTTGGTATATTTTAGTTGTCACTGTATAAGACTAAGCATAGGTGATTTGATGATGTTGAAATGTTGAAGTTGAAATGGTGCTGGAATAGTGGAGGCAGCTCCTGTTTTCTTTGCGACTTGCGGTAACTCTACGTGGTTCTAAATCAATAGTTGTTTAGTGGTCTGAAAATGTCGGAAACATTAGCTTGCTTGACCATGCTGTAGGTCATGTAACTGTTTGTTACATGTAATATGCTTTGTGGACTCCACCGGACAGAGGCTGCTCTCCAGTTTTGTGATGAAACAAAGGTGTGGTTGAATTTATTCTGCCACTGTGTCTTCTTATTGTCTCAGCCTTGTCAGGCCTATATATCACGGTGTCAAGGTATATGAACTAACAGGTTATAGAGCAAGCAACGCAATTATCACAACACATAAGTTGGAATATGGCTTTTTTTTCTGGCTTCCTCAGTGATTTTACCCACGCACCGCTACTGTGTACTCCACACATGAGGGGGTGACCGTTGGTCCTATTTAATCAGACAGGTCACTGGGATTATGGGGTTGGTCAGAAAAAACTGTGCAAGAGAGGTGTGTTGGAATTGTTATATAATGCTCTTTTCAGAGTGAGAGAAAATAACACAGTGACAGCTATGAGCTTTTATCAGGTTTAAGGGTAGATTGAATTACACAATAAAGTACAGTAGCCTGCATACCTGTTTGCTGATGGAAGGTTTGAGCAGGTGCTGTTGCTGTGGTTGTTGTTGTTGTTGCTGCTGCTGTGATTGCTGTATGGTTGTTGTAGTGCCCCCCTGTGGCCCCTGGGGGCCCTGGCTCTCCCTGACAGAGCTCTGCTGGTGGGGCAGTCCAGGGGCTGTGTTATCTTTGACCGACAGCTGTTGCCGTGGTGCCTGTTGCCGACCTCCGTAGTTCGACTCTGGCGATAGGTTGGCACTGGGCGGTCGCGTCTTAGCGGATGGTGTGGGAGCAGCAGCCGCACTGACGGACAGCTGATGGGAGGTCTGTGATTTGACGCGTTGGGCGGGAGGCGGGGCGATGGAGCTCTGGCGCGCGGGCTGGACTGTGGAGGGGGGTGTGGCCAGGGAGGAGTGGGATGTGCCAGTCTGAGAGGCCATGCCCATCTGCTGTTGCTGTTGAAGATTATCCTAACAGGACAATTAGAGAACACCAAGTTATCCTGGCCTTAAACCTGTTTCAGATGTTTACATTATGCTAATCCTATTCATGTAGGCTACAAACAAATGTTGACTTCAATTATGATCAAGTAGGAGAGACAAAAAGGCTAATTTGCACAAAAGTAGAGCATGATTGTAAACACATTATTGACCTAAGGTTAATCCATACCTGCCCGTGCATGGACAGTTGCCGCCGTGCGTAATCAGCCCTGCTGTAGTCGTCGCTATAGCTGTGTGAGTGGATAATGGCTGGCTGCCCCAGGTGCCCTGCCCCGGTCCTCAGGGTGGACAGGTCCTCGCTGCGGGAGAACCCCCCGTGGGCGAACTGGGGGATGTAGGCCTGGTGTGAGCCACCGGGGTCAGGCTCCGGGGCCAGGAGCAGGGGCGGCGGGAGATGGGCCCTGCTGTGCTGGTGGTGGAGGTGGGGTCCATCTGCGGTGCCGGTGGCCAGATGAAACAGGGGGTTCTGGAAGGAGAGCGGGTATCTCAGGGCGGCGGCCTGCTGCTGCTGCTGCTGGGACAGCGAGTCGGTGGTGGTACCCATCTGGCTCAACTGGCTCAGCCGGAGGCCCCCTGACATGCTGGATCCCCCCGAGCCGGCCGAGAGGCGGCCCCCGGCCCGGAGCTGGCCGCTCAGGCCCGAGCCCAGGCCTCCGCCACCCTGGCTGCTGAGCCCTCCGAAGCTGCCCATGCCGGTGATGGAGGCCTGGGAGGAGTTGAGCATGGCCACCGACTGCAGGTTAGACACGCTGTTCAATGTGGAGTCCTGGAGGTCCATCATAGATATACACTTTATTGACACTGAGCACCTAGACTAGATTGATATAGCTAACATCCTTGTGTGCCCAATTCTAAAGTGCCAATAAGTTGATTAAGTGTGTTATCTATTGAGAGGGGTGGTTGTATGCCTGAATTGCATGTCCCATGACTTACCACTAAGGTACATGCATCATTTTCCTATGAGCGCACAGCTGCCATACTATCCTGCAGTCGTCTGCCAGACTTGGCTACCACATGGAAAGGAGATGTGCAGTTTACATAGTTTCCTGTTGAACACGGCTCCTAATAGATCTTAATGCTATCAAAACTCTAGAATTCAACTAACCTTGTGGTCTGGCTCGGTGATATCGGAGCTACTGGTGCAGTAGGCAGGGCTGGATCGGGCCAAGGGAGGGCGGGTTACATAGAAAACGTCTTTGGAGGCTCGATGTGGGTGATCGCGCTCTTGGAAACTCAGCTGAGCATGAGCACGAGATGGCATGATCCCCCCACTGGACACACCAGAGGTAGGGGAAGGCAAGCGAGTGATATCTATGGAGCTTAAGGTAACAACACATAGCAACAGATTGGAGAAGACGATGACAAGGTTATACAGTGGGGGAAAAAAGTATTTAGTCAGCCACCAATTGTGCAAGTTCTCCCACTTAAAAAGATGAGAGAGGCCTGTAATTTTCATCATAGGTACACGTCAACTATGACAGACAAAATTAGAAAAAAAAATCCAGAATATCACATTGTAGGATTTTAAATGAATTTATTTGCAAATTATGGTGGAAAATAAGTATTTGGTCAATAACAAAAGTTTCTCAATACTTTGTTATATACCCTTTGTTGGCAATGACACAGGTCAAACGTTTTCTGTAAGTCTTCACAAGGTTTTCACACACTGTTGCTGGTATTTTGGCCCATTCCTCCATCCAGATCTTCTCTAGAGCAGTGATGTTTTGGGGCTGTCGTTGGGCAACACGGACTTTCAACTCCCTCCAAAGATCTTCTATGGGGTTGAGATCTGGAGACTGGCTAGGCCACTCCAGGACCTTGAAATGCTTCTTACGAAGCCACTCCTTCGTTGCCCGGGCGGTGTGTTTGGGATCATTGTCATGCTGAAAGACCCAGCCACGTTTCATCTTCAATGCCCTTGCTGATGGAAGGAGGTTTTCACTCAAAATCTCACGATACATGGCCCCATTCATTCTTTCCTTTACACGGATCAGTCGTCCTGGTCCCTTTGCAGAAAAACAGCCCCAAAGCATGATGTTTCCACTCACTTGCTTCACAGTAGTTCTTTGGATGCAACTCAGCATTCTTTGTCCTCCAAACACGACGAGTTGAGTTTTTACCAAAAAGTTCTATTTTGGTTTCATCTGACCATATGACATTCTCCCAATCCTCTTCTGGATCATCCAAATGCACTCTAGCAAACTTCAGACGGGCCTGGACATGTACTGGCTTAAGCAGGGGGACACGTCTGGCACTGCAGGATTTGAGTCCCTGGCGGCGTAGTGTGTTACTGATGGTAGGCTTTGTTACTTTGGTCCCAGCTCTCTGCAGGTCATTCACTAGGTCCCCCCGTGTGGTTCTGGGATTTTTGCTCACCATTCTTGTGATCATTTTGACCCCACGGGGTGAGATCTTGCGTGGAGCCCCAGATCGAGGGAGATTATCAGTGGTCTTGTATGTCTTCCATTTCCTAATAATTGCTCCCACAGTTGATTTCTTCAAACCAAGCTGCTTACCTATTGCAGATTCAGTCTTCCCAGCCTGGTGCAGGTCTACAATTTTGTTTCTGGTGTCCTTTGACAGCTCTTTGGTCTTGGCCATAGTGGAGTTTGGAGTGTGACTGTTTGAGGTTGTGGACAGGTGTCTTTTATACTGATAAAGTTCAAAAGGTGTATTACAAGTTAGGATTTAGCACAAAAGGCAAAACCCAACCACAGCCTTATGGCGGGAAAGGCAAAACTTTAACATTGGCCATGATAAATGCCCCAACCAACCATCCTCCTAGGCCTGGTTTTCCCAACACAGATTAAACCTAATCCAAGACTAAAAGGTATGTTCAATGGAAATTCTCCATTCAAAGTGCTTTTCAGTCCAGGACTATACTTAACCTGTGTCCAGGAAACAAGCCATAGGGTTAAATAAAGCCAGGGCACTACCTGTTGAGATCCTTCATCATGAGATTCTGGAACTCCGAGGAGACTCCCTGTTGAAGCTGGGTCGTGAGAGCAGCCTCTCCGTCTGTCTCTCATGGACTCTATCTGTCTGGTTCTGGTGGCTGGGCTGCCTCTGCAGGTGGGGGTTACGCAGGGCCATGCTGATGTCATTCAAGAGGCGGGGCAAGGGACCCAGTTTGATAATGGCATCCTGTGGGTTAGGGTTAGAAGACTGACATGAATACAAGTTAGCAATGACAATAGGAAAAGCATTCAAATGGTTAAAAAGTGTGGTTGATAATTTTAAGTATCTTATCTTTGAAAATTGCAAGTGCACTTAATCATTCCGTTCATTCTACTGTCTCAAACATTCAGATTACTGGGTTGTCAAGACCATACATAGTTATTTTATTGTACTGATTCCATATTGGACTCAATCATTATTGAATAACCCTACATTGGTTATCTGTAACTTATAATTCTTTATTGGTCATATATTGTAGCGGTTGTATTGTTAATATTTACCCTGATCCTCCCTACCTTGCTGAGCTGGGCCATGACCTCCCAGAGGAGGCTGTGCAGTATGGACAGCTCCCTGCCCAGGTCGATGTAGCCCTCGAAGCCCCCTGCGTTGCTCACACTGTCCAGATTGGAGATCTCATAGAGGAACTGCTGCATGGAGCCCCACTCCATCTCTAAGAACTCATTCATGAAGCACATGTACTCCTCTTTCATGCCAAACCTGAGGGAGAGAGAGAAGAAGAAGAAAGAGTGGGGTATAGGAGGAAGAGTCAAAATGCTGTATACTCACAGAGATTACATCATTGGCTGGTTTCCCGGACACAGAATTAGCCCAATCCTGGATTAATAACTAATAAGCACTTTCAATGAAGAATCGACATTGAGCATGCTTTTTAGTCCAGGACTAGGTTTAGTCTGTGCCCGGGAAAAAGACTCAAAATATTACAAAAGTTTTAGCATAAGCATAACATTATGAGTTGATTTGAATGAATGAACTGACTTGGAGAAGTTGGCCAGGTTCTGCACCACTTTGGAGATGAGGGTGAGCGTGCGTGACGTCTGCTCGTCTGGGTACTCCTGGGTCAGGTTGAACAGGGAGGGGGACATGACGGCCGGACACAGGAAGCGCAGGAAAAGGGAGCCGCTGATTAGGCGGTCTGCGATGTCCTCCCTCCCCCTCTCCGCACAGCGCACCCTCCACGAGGCAAACACCTCCTTCAGCTCTCGAGGGAACACACTGCAGAGAGATACAAATATACAGTGTGTTATTCTCATTTGATAGGATATTCTGTTTTAGTCAGGCAATGTATGCCAACTACTGAAGGCAAATCTGGTGTGCTCAACAATCCAAATTCTGTAAATATGTCTTTGGGTGCTGTAGGCCAGGAGTAATCCTACATGAATGAAAACAACTGTAAGCACTCATATATGCCAACTACTGACCAATGGGAGTTGACGATTTTGCAGAGTGCCAGTTCGCAGCACATGCGGAGATTGGCTTGGTGATCTGGAAGGACAGAGGGTGGTGTCCTCATGGGGTCCACCTCGCAGTTCTCCTCCGATTCGTACAGTGCCCTTATGAACTCCCCTGAAACAAACACAATATCACCGACCATTAGGCAAACACAGAAAGATACTGGATACATCACAGCAAGAACAGTCCAACAACATGTATTGAGAGATTAATGTGAAGCATTTGACGGTCACACCTATTGCATCCTTGAGGTACTTATGTCCAATCAGCTTGAGGTACTCTTCTATGGCTTTGGTGGCCAGAGTGTTCTCTCTGAAGATAAGGTGTTCTCGGTCAATGAATCTATCTACCTCACACATCGCCATGTCCGAAAGAAAATCCTGGGGGAAAAAAAAAACAGAAACATCAACATAGCATAGGCTTTCTTTGTAAAACATTCAATTACAATCTATTGGGTACTCTCAAATTCAATTTTGAGGATATAACGTCTTTCCGGAGGTCAGAGTGTAATTTGTTATGTTTAATGTTCCTTCTGTTTCAATCTGTTTTGGCTTATGGTTTGGTAAGAAAACCAAGAAGTAGTCAAACTAATGTTCATTTTGTAGTTCATATTGCCTTGAAGATGGAATCTGCAGGTCATGGGCGTCCCCATGCCTCCCCACTTCTTCTGTTGTGTTTTCACTTTGAACGAAAACAAGGGGATTGAGCCCTGAGCCGCCTTGGGCTGGCCTTCTGGGCAAGGTGTGTCTTTGTGCTAAATCCTGCCTACTCAAACAACCCTGCTGCCATTGCTCCGGAGATGGAGAGGAAGTGAAAGTCACTTGCAAGCTACAGCCACCAGAAACAAACACAGAGCAGATGAAGCCAACAAGCTAGCTAACTTGTTTGCAGATTAACTTTCCTGGTAGCAGGGTCAGCGTTTTCAGAAAATGTTGACAGAAACAAGCATCATTCTCGATTCTTGGATCTGTATCAACTCGACCCCAAAAGAGAAAAAGAAGCGAGAAGAACACTGCTCATGACCAATCCAGAAACCGGATAGACATTGGAATTAATTTTGAAAGGTGGAAGAGTGACGCTGAAATGACAACCATTCTCATGGACAGGTAGGTAAGTGTTGGGTTGAATTTTTAGCCTGCCTTTTTTCTGCTAACCTTAGTGTGTTCAGTGTTCAAGCTAGCTAACACGGCTACTTAGCTAGCTAGCTGACATCTTCTGTATTCTAACTGTTTTGTCCTCAAAGGAATCTAACGACAGCTACACTGTATAAACCACACAAGATGCCCAATGCCTTTATTTCAACTAGCTAACGTTAGCTAGCTACCTAAAGCTACATATGCAGATTGTTTACATGATAGTGTGTTTGGTTTGTAGATGATAATGCTAGCTAGCTAGGTGGTCGACAGCATTTTCAACCCAGGACCACCCCAAACAATGCATCTAGCTATACATTCGGTACAGTGACATCACACAAACATGTATTTCTCAGGGAGATACTGGTGGAGACAGTCTGATTTCGAGGGAATCTGAGGTTATAGAAGTTTGGTTGTGGAAAAATCAACACCAAAAGAGAGGTAAGAAATGCTATGGATTTTTTTGTTATGTTTTGTGATTCAATAATTATTTGATTGGTAATCGACCAACAGAAGCTATGTTTCCCTGTTCAGCACATTGCCTACATAGCATGGCATTGAGTCCTACCGTGAATTTCACAACTTTAAGGACTGAATGAATATCCAGCATGGTCAGTCAAGTAAACAATGGCTCATCTTCATGACATAATATTGGTAGACCATGGGCCATCAAGTAATAGGATGGTTACATTAGCATGACACATGTTACACTGGTTACAGCAAAACACCACATCCTATGTATGTAAAGGACACTGTTATGACAGTGACTTAGTACATATTACCTCAATTACCTCGACTAACCGGTGCCCCCACACATTGACTCTGTACACACATTGACAGGCTGTCCTGTAGCTCAGTTGGTAGAGCATGGTGCTTGCAACGCCAGGGTTGTGGGTTCGTTTCCCATGGGGGGCCAGTATGAAAAATGTATGCACTCACTAACTGTAAATCGCTCTGGATAAGAGCGTCTGCTAAATGACTAAAATCTCAAATGTAAAAATGTACCCCCTGTATATAGCCTCGCTATTGTTATTTTTACTGCTGCTCTATAATTATTTATTGTGTGATTTTTTTTTGGTATTCTTTCTTAAAACTGCATTGTTGGTTAAGGGCTTGTAAGTAAGCATTTGTGGCACGTGACAAATAAAATTGGATTTGATTTGATTTATTTGGCAGTAATGTCTCATCACCTTTATTTTACCAGGTAAGCCAGTTGAGAACAAGTTCTCATTTACAACTGCGACCTGGCCAAGATAAAGCAAAGCAGTGCGATAAAAACAACAACAACACAGAGTTACATATGGAATAAACAAAACGTACAGTCAATAACACAATAGAAAATCTATATACAGTGTGTGCAAATGTAGTAAGTTATGGAGGTAAGGCAATAAATAGGCCATAGTGCAAAATAATTACAATTTAGTATTAACACTGGAGTGATAGATGTGCAGAAGATGATGTGCAAATAGAGATACTGGGGTGCAAATGAGCAAAATAAATAACTATGTAAATAGCAATATGGGGATGAGGTAGTTGGGTGAGCTAATTACAGATGGGCTGTGTACAGGTGCAGTGATCGGTAAGCTGCTCTGACAACTGATGCTTAAAGTTAGTGAGGGAGATAAGTGTCTCCAGCTTCAGAGATTTTTGCAGTTCGTTCCAGTCATTTGCAGCAGAGAACTGGAAGGAATGGCGGCCAAAGGAGGTGTTGGCTTTGGGGATGACCAGTGAGATATACCTGCTGGAACGCATACAACGGGTGGGTGTTGCTATGGTGACCAATGATCTAAGATAAGGCAGGGATTTGCCTAGAAGTGATTTATAGATGACCTGGAGCCATTGGGTTTAGCAACGAATATGTAGTGAGGGCCAGCCAACGAGAGCGTACAGGTCACAATGGTGGGTAGTATATGGGGCTTTGGTGACAAAACGGATGGCACTGTGATAGACTACATCCAATTTGCTGAGTAGAGTGTTGGAAGCTATTTTGTAAATGACATCGCCAAAGTCAAGGATCGGTACGATAGTCAGTTTTACGAGGGCATGTTTAGCAGCATGAGTGAAGGAGGCTTTGTTGCGAAATAGGAAGCCGATTCTAGATGTAACTTTGGATTGGAGATGCTTAATGTGAGTCTAGAAGGAGAGTTTACGGTCTAACCAGACACCTAGGTATTTGTAGTTGTCCACATATTCTAAGTCAGACCCGCCGAGAGTAGTGATTCTAGTCGGGCGGGCGGGTGCAAGCAGCGCTCGATTGAAGAGCATGCATTTAGTTTAATAGCGTTTAAGAGCAGTTGGAGGCCACGGAAGGAGTGTTGTATGGCATTGAAGCTTGTTTGGAGGTTTGTTAACACAGTGTCCAATGAAGGGCCAGATGTATACAAAATGGTGTCGTCTGCATAGAGGTGGATCTGAGAGTCACCAGCAGCAAGAGCAACATCATTGATATACACAGAGAATAGAGTCCGCCCGAGAATTGAACCCTGTGGCACCCCCATAGAGACTGCCAGAGGTCCAGACAACAGGCCCTCCGATTTGACACATTGAACTCTATCTGAGAAGTAGTTGGTGAACCAGGCGAGGCAGTCATTTGAGAAACCAAGGCTATTTAGTCTGCCAATAAGAATGCGGTGATTGACAGAGTCAAAAGCCTTGGCCAGGTCGATGAAGACGGCTGCAGAGTACTGTCTTTTATCGATCACGGTTATTATATCGTTTAGGACCTTGAGCGTGGCTGAGGTGCACCCATGACCAGTTCGCAAACCAGATTGCATAGCGGAGAAGGTACGGTGGTGATCTGTTTGTTTACTTGGCTTTCAAATACTTTTGAAAGGCAGGGCAGGATGGATATAGGTCTGTAACAGTTTGGATCTAGAGTGTCACCCCCTTTGAAGAGGTGGATGACTGCGGCAGCTTTCCAATCTCTGGGGATCTCAGACGATACGAAAGAGAGGTTGAAAAGGCTAGTAATAGGGGTAGCGACAATTCCGGCGGCAAATTTTAGAAAGAAAGTGTCCAGATTGTCTAGCCCAGATGATTTGTAGGGGTCCAGATTTTGCAGCTCTTTCAGGACATCAGCTATCTGAATTTGGTTGAAGGAGAAGCGGGGGGTGGGGGGGGGGGGGGGGGGGGGGGGTGGACTTTACAGTGTCCCAAAACCTTTTGCAGTTAGTGCTACAGAATGCACATTTCTGTTTGAAAAAGCTAGCCTTTGCTTTCCTAACTGATTGTGTATATTGGTTCCTTACTTCCCTGAAAAGTTGCATATCGCGGGGGCTGTTCGATGCTAATGCAGTACGCCACAGGATGATTTTGTGCTGGTCAAGGGCAGTCAAGTCTGGGGTGAACCAAGGGCTATATCTGTTCTTAGTTCTGAATTTTTTGAATGGAGAATGCTTATTTAAGATGGAGAGGAAAGCACTTTTGAAGAACATCCAGGCATCCAGGTATATATGTGCCCTCTGTTCCCCATTGTCCTTGTCGATTATTGTCCCATGTCCGTTGGTCTCGTGAGTACTGTGTATTGTGCTCTTGGTATTACGGGTCTCGTCCCGTGTATTGTTTAAAGGTTTACACCTTGCTCTTTTGTTTGGGTTACATCCCTATGTAATATATACACTATTGTTCAAAAGTTTGGGGTCACTTAGAAATATCCTTGTTTTCCATGAAAACATACATGAAATGAGTTTGAATAGGACATATATTAACATGAATAGGAAATGTAGTCATTGACAAGGTTATAAATAATGATTTTTAATTGAAATAATAATTGTGTCCTTCAAACTTTGCTTTTGTCAAAGAATCCTCCATTTGCAGCAATTACAGCCTTGCAGACCTTTGGCATTCTAGTTGTCAATTTGTTGAGGTAATCTGAAGAGATTTCACCCCATGCTTCCTGAAGCACCTCCCACAAGTTGGATTGGCTTGATGGGCACTTATATGTACCATACAGTCAAGCTGCTCCCACAACAGCTCAATAGGGTTAAGATCCGGTGACTGTGCTGGCCACTCCATTATAGACAGTATACCAGTTGACTGCTTCTTCGCGAAATAGTTCTTGCATAGTTTGGAGCTGTGCTCTGGGTCATTGTCCTGTTGTAGGAGGAAATTGGCTCCGATCAAGCGCCGTCCACAGGGTATGGCATGGCGTTGCAAAATGGAGTGATAGCCTTCCTTCTTCAAGATCCCTTTTACCCTGTACAAATCTCCCACTTTACCACCACCAAACCACCCCCAGACCATCACATTGCCTCCATCATGCTTGACAGATGGCATCAAGCACTCCTCCAGCATCTTTTCATTTGGTCTGCGTCTCACAAACGTTCTTCTTTGTGATTCGTCTGTCCATAACACTTTTTTCCAATCTTCCTCTGTCCAGTGTCTGTGTTCTTTTGCCCATCTTAATCTTTTATTTTTATTGGCCAGTCTGAGATATGGCTTTTTCTTTGCAACTCTGCCTAGAAGGTCAGCATCCCAGAGTTGCCTCTTCACTGTTGACGTTGAGACTGGTGTTTTGCGGGTACTATTTAATGAAGCTGCCAGTTGAGGACCTGTGAGGCGTCTGTTTCTCAAACGAGACACTCTAATGTATTTGTCCTCTTGCTCAGTTGTGCACCGGGGCCTCCCACTCCTTTTTATATTCTGGTTAGAGCCAGTTTGCACTTTTCTGTGAAGGGAGTAGAACACAGCGTTGTACAAGATCTTCAGTTTCTTGGCAATTTCTCGCATGGAATAGCCTTCATTTCTCAGAACAAGAATAGACTGACGAGTTTCAGAAGAAAGTTCTTTGTTTCTGGCCATTTTGAGCCTGTAATCGAACCCACAATTACTGATGCTCCAGATACTCAACTAGTGTCAAGAAGGCCAGTTTTATTGCTTCTTTAATCAGCACAACAGTTTTCAGCTGTGCTAACATAATTGCAAAAGGGTTTTCTAATGATCAATTAGACTTTTAAAATGATAAACTTGGATTAGCAAACACAACGTGCCATTGGAACACAGGACTGATGGTTGCTGATAATGGGCCTCTGTACGCCTATGTAGATATTCCATAAAAAGTCTCCTGAGTGGCGCAGTGGTCTAAGGCACTGCATCGCAGTGCAAACTGTGCCACTAGAGATCCTGGTTCAAATCCAGGCTCTGTCGCAGCCGGCAGCGACCAGGAGACTCATGGGCGGTGCACAATTGGCCCAGCGTCGTCCAGGGTAGGGGAGGGAATGGCCGGCAGGGATGTAGCTCAGTTGATAGAGCATGGCGTTTGCAACGCCAGGGTTGTGGGTTCAATTCCCACGGGGGGCCAGTATAAAAAAATAAAATATGTATTCACTAACTGTAAGTTGCTCTGGATAATAGCGTCTGCTAAAATGACTAAAAATAAATAAAAAAATCAGCCTTTTTCAGCTACAATAGCCATTTACAACATTAACAATGTCTACACTGTATTTCTGATCAACTTGATGTTATTTTAATGGACCACAAAATTGCTTTTCTTTCGAAAACAAGGACATTCCTAAGTGACCCCAAACTTTTGAACGGTAGTGTATATACGTGTTTGTTTTGGGCTTCGTCCCCGTCGTTGTTCATGACATACCTTGTGTTGGGTGGAGAAAATGAAACCCCTATTATGTATTCCTGCGTCTGTCTCCAAATCATTAATCAGCGTGACAGCATGGTGATTTGAGGTGGTTGAATTTATAAACGGTGCATACATTCTCACTATAATGTACTCATATTCCATCAATATTATGTTATCAAATCAAAAACAACATTTATTTGGCATATTCACAGGATACAGTGGGGTGTATACGGGAATATGACCTTGCATTGTACCGTGCACTATTGAAGTAACAATTTATTTAATGTTTCATGCCAATACTTACCTTTGCTTTCCCCGTGCTCTGTAGTATGTGGACCAGCGCACAGGCCACCTCCTCTTTACTCTTCACGCTCAGTAGAGGCTCCAGCACCGCACACAGAGTCCGGTAGTTATTGGTGACATACTCCGCAAACTCCTTGTACAGCTCCATGGGCAGGATGCTCATGGTCTGGTAGCGGGACTTGAGGCGTAGGGAGGCATTGATGATCTTGCCCCCTGCTTGCCCCTTGGCCAGGACGCTAGGCTGGATGACGGGGTACCACTGCTCCACAAACTGTCGGCCCGTGATGCTGGAGATAGGGATACTGACCAGTCCCAGGTATGTGCTCTTTTCCTGATAGAAGAGGGGAAATAAGGCATAAGTGGGATTTTGTGGTCAAGAGTTATGGGGCCTGGGCCATTAAGAAAGAGGACAAAAAGAGGATAGTAATGTAACTAAAGTATATTTATCCATCTTAATCATTGGGCAAGCTGCTATCATTAAACCCAGCAGTGCTTTAACCAGTCTACAAGAATGTAATTTCAACCAGTTTTATCCAGTTTTGCACACTGGTGAGAGAGTTGTCCCTTCACCTTGCGTCTCTTCTTGTCAGTCTCCTTGTAGAGATGAAGGCGTAGGTTGCGGACGGCTGGCAAGTTGTTGAACTCAAAGTGCTCGCCCCAGAACACGGTGTCAGTCCGGGGCTTGCTGGTGGTGCGTGCGTAAAGCATGTCGTCCAGACAAAGTTCGCAGTAGTAACGCTTCTTGGCCGGAAGCTCCCGCGCCTCGATGATCCAGAGTTTCAGCACGTTGTCCACCCTCCGACTGTTGTCCTGAAGAGGGGCAAAGAAAGGGTGGCAAAAGGACAAGGCAGAACAGGGAGGAAAGAAAACCAAAGGGAAAAAGAAAGCCAAAGAGAGAGGGATGGTTGAGTGGGTTAAGAACAATATGCACACATACGGATGGCGATACATGAGATAATACATGTGTACTGGAGGCATGAGAGACAGAAAGTGGATGTGTGATTGGTAATGTTGCAGCAGAGAGCTGCATTTTCTGAACATGATTACAAAGAGCCAACTATATCTGAAATCCCAATGGGAGGAGAGTGTGCTGTGCAGATTGCACAGAGTGATGTTTTAGTCAGAGGTGAGTCATTTCAACTAGTCTGAAATGCCACTGGATCGCTCGGCCCCGGCTAAGCTCAGCTCTTAATACCGAATTTAGATTGCTAAGTATATCAGCAATTTTCCAAAGTTGTTAGTTCTTAAGTACTCCATAGGTATGCCGCCTGACAATCAATGTGGATGTCCGCCGATACAACCCTTTCAACCGTTCATAATGAATTTCAATAGGAAGAAGAATCAAGAGCGTCTGTCTGCCCAGCGATGGTTACGAAACTTAATGAACATCCTGGTCTCTATCGACATCGCACCTCGTCTTTTCTCTCTCATCATGTATCTGGTTGGAGATTCATGACGGTGCTGAGGATATTTCGGAGCCCCCGTGTTAAGTCCTTGGAGCCCCGTGATTCAGCCAGGAACCCTGCAGTCACAGCATCTGGATGAGTCAATCCACTCAGGCTGATGTTTCCTCTCCGTTTGCCTTAATACTGCAGCTCCCTAGCTGCCATCAAGAGCAGTTATCTGTCTCGCGCATGTTTCCCCTTTTTGATAAGAGAGAGGGGGGGGGGGGAAGGGCCTATTACGCAGACCTAGGAGATCAAGCTGAGCTGAAATTAGAAGATCTGTTTTAATCAACCGCATCTAAAGTGCTGAGTTTGCTTCTTCTTAGTTCTTTATTTTACTCGGATGATAGAGTGTAGAAGTGCTGTGTTTTAATATGTACTGTATTTGAATGTACATTACAGATATAGACAAACAGAGAGCAAATGGAGGTTACAGTACACAAAATGAGGAAATGCTCATATTGAAACAGACATATTGAAGACAGGGGAGAAGGAGAGAAGCACTGACAGACAGAGAAGTAACTTAATTTCTCGTCCTTGTTTCCCCACCTTGTTGGGTTTGACAGCTCTCTGAAGATTCTCGATCCATTTGTCTCTCTCTGCACCCGAGCGACATGCAAAGCACTTGGTTCCCGAAGCCGTAGTCACCTGAGGTTACCAACGGTAACATCAACAGCCACAACCATTAGCAACTTGGGAGAAGATGACAAGTGGCATAACAACGTCCTTTAATCATAGAGACTTGTGTCATGTACACGTCGGCTATGGGAAAGTGAACCATGCAGTGAAAGCCGTTTTCACAACAAATTTCTGTGACAAATCAACTTGGGACATGAGCTCATTTCGAGCTGCTTGTTGGCTTTCTCTTTGATATCTTTTCCACAGATAACAAGATTTTAAAATCACAGCCTTATTCAATAAATCCTTATGTTGATGCCAATGGAGAGACTTCTACCCAACATTAGTAGTATTAGTAACAATAGTAGACAGACCTGGGTTCAAATTCTATTTGAAATCTTTCAGATACTTTTAGTGTTTGCTTTAGCCTGCCTGGAGTGGCAGATGGGTGGGATTTTAACTTTCTCTTATTCTATTGGTTCCATTGCAACAGGCAAGCTCAATCAAGCACAGCAAAATTATTTGAAATGATTTCAAATAGTATTTGAACCCAGGTTTAATTAGTAGCGCTATCTGTGTTTCATTGTGTGTGTGTGTCGTGTCAGCCTCACCTCGAAGCAGTACTCCTGTCCCAGGATGCTGGAGTGGACAGGCTTGATGATGGCGTCCTCGTCCAGGGTGAGGTCCAGCGCCTCGGCCGCGCTGCTGGGAGACAGCAAGGACTCATGGGAGTGGGACTCTTTGAAGCTCTGCATCAGGCGCGTTCTGGGTGGGGAGCAGAGACACAGTGAGAGGAGCAGAGTGAGTCCTATACATTACATTACACAGCATCAAGGATACAGTACACAGCATTCTGAACTGTGGTTATAAAGGGTAACTCTCCCACAGCCAAACAGCTACATATAATATACTTTATAATATGAATATACATATGTAATATACTTACTATACTTACTGAATCAAATCAGGATGTATTTGTGATAACTTTGCGAGACGGATTCCTGCGATGGGGGATTATAGTCTGATATCATTATTTGCGTCCGTATTCTCATGTGCTCATTCAACAGCTATCTTAGACCACTTATTTATGTTCCCTAACGATCATACTGTACATTAAACCACATTTGAGGTAGAAAAAACATTACCAATACTAAGCAGGTCGTGATGTTGAAAGAATGGCGATGGAGGGAATAGCGGCTGTTTTACGGGCTCCTGACCAATTGTAAAAAAATATTGGAGCTGATCTTAAATTTGTTGGTACATAATGTTTCCTCTATCGTTTCCTATGACCGAAAAGAGCTTCTGGACATCAAAACAGCTATCACCAACTTCGATTTTGGACGAGGACTTCAATGAGTCGGAGGCGAAAGACATATTGATTATCCCAGACCAGGCCCAAATCCCCGACGCTCGAAGAAGGAGGAGATGCCGCTTTAGAGGCCGGCGTGCAGGATACCTGACGAGACTACGTCGGAGAGTGGATAAATCACTGGAGAATAAACTGGATGAGGTCCGTTCGAGACTATCCTACCATCGTAGACTATAGATAAGGAGGGCCGAGCACTTCTCCATCTACATCGACGGTGCTGTAGTGGAGCAGGTTGACAGCTTCAAGTTCCTCGGTGTCCACATCACTAAGGAATTATCATGGTCCACACACACCAACACAGTCATGAAGAGGGCAAGACAATGCCTCTTCCCCCTCAGGAGGCTGAAAAGATTTGGCATGGGCACTCAGATCCTCAAAATATTATACAGCTGTGCCATTGAGATCATCTTGACTGGCTGCATCACCGCTTGCTATGGCAACTGCTTGGCATCTGACCACAAGGCGCTACGGAGGGTAGTGCGTACGGCCCAGTACATCACTGGGGCCGAGCTCCCTGCCATCCAGGACCTCTATACCAGGGGGTGTCAGAGGAAGGCCCTAAAAATTGTCAAAGACTCCAGCCACCCAAGTCATGGACGGTTCTCTCTGCTATCGCACGGCAAAGCGGTACCGATGCACCAAGTCTGGAACCAACAGGACCCTAAACAGCTTCTACCCCCATGCCATAAGACTGCTAAATAGTTAGTCCGTGTAGCTATTGGTTAACTATTTAACTATCTGCATTGACCCTTTTTTGCATCTCTTTGACTCATCACATATGCTGCTGTTACTGTTTATTATCTATCCTGTTACCTAGTCACTTTATCCCTACCTACTGTATATGTACATATCTACATCATAGTCCTGCACATTGACTCAGTACTGGTACCCCGTGTATATAGCCAAGTTATTGTTACTCATTGTGTATGTTTCTATTATTTATCATTTTTTTTCTCTCTGCATTTTTTGGGAAGGGCCCGTAAGTCAGCATTTCACTGTTAGTCTATACCTGTTGTTTACAAAGCATGTGATAAATACAATTTGATTTGATTTGATTAGGGGGTTGATTAAGTCAACAAGGCAACTGGTACCATATGGCCCCCAAAAAATGCAACCACTGTCAATATTTTCCATTTGAATGTCGGTATACACTTCTTCAACTAAAGGGACTACCCACTGTTTATAGCTCCCTACAATCTCACTAACAAATCTAACCGTGGAGTTTTTCTAAGCTACACTTGAGCATATCTTATTCTGAAAAGTTGAGAAACAGCACGCAACCATTCTGCTTTTCATGCCAAAGCATTCCGTCTGTACTCATAAATTCTGTGTTCTGTGAGCTTGAAAAGAGGTCACATCAAAAAACAATGTGCTGCTAGTCTCACTATGGGTCTAATTGTCATCTAAAGAAGTCAACACATTAGCATTCAATTAGAGTTTCACTGGATTACATTAGATTTCAGCATAATAACAATAGTGTTATCATGATATTTCTTGGACAACAAAGCTATGTTTCTATTGACAGCCATACATGCATAAGGCACAAAGTAACACATGGATAAAATTGTTCTCTGACGCTTGCCCGCCATACCCGCCCACATTCACTTATACATATACACAGACGAACACAAACACACACACCGATTATGCCACAATACCACTGAACTGAAGAGACAGATACAGAATGACACAAAGGGAATGTCAGAGACCACAACAGAGACCACAACAGAGACCACAACACAGACCACAACACAGAAAAATCTGAGAAAAAAAAAGAAACAGTCTCCCTACTATGATGTCCCTGATGCGTCCAGCTCTCTCGCGTTCTCCCTGTGCCACAGTTTTTGTGTACATTCACTCATAATGTGCATCAGAACATTGAATACTTACAGTGGAGTGGGAAAGAGAGGGAGAGGGAGAGAGAGAGAGAAAGATAGGAGAGAGATGTGGAGGGAGAGATAAAAATAGACCCAAAGAAATGAGTCAGAATGAGAGAAATAAAGGACAGTGGGGGAGGTCGAGAAAGGGAGGGCGAGAGTGTGAGAGAGACAGAGGGAGAGAGAAGGAGAGGGGGAATACGGTGGGAGAGAAAACCTCTCAGAGGAAATCAAGTTGTTATGTAAACTGTTGGTACAACACAGCTAAGCCACACTGGAAAAAAGTCCATCCCCCAAAACGCACTTTCTACCAACACTCTTCATACCCAAGATGCAGGCAGGTGTTTCAAAAACAACAGAAAGTATCTAAAAAGGGAAAACTGCCCCAGCAACTACACCTCAAGCAACTTATCCAACATAACGACACAAAATATGTAGAAAGTCACCCTAATGTATTCATATAGGGGGCTAAATACCAGCAAATGACCAAAACAAACCACACATCTCCATTACCTACAGTAAGCCAGGAGACTACCAAAAGCCAACTGTGTTTGAACTAAGGCCTTTGAAAAGGAAATCAGTCATTGATGCTTTGAAGACCATCTCCCTGGCGAAACATGACGGACTTCAGAAGCTGCTTGACTTGTCTTTCTGTGTATCCTCAGACTTAACCATCCATGGATGAAATATGTCCGGATCTCTTCAATGAATAAATCATGAAAAGAACAGCTCCTCGACCGCACTTAAGCCCTTTCAAGATCCAAATGACCTCTTCTACACAGGTCAACTTGGAGTAGCTATAGCACCAATGTCATGTCACTGATTTGCCATTGTTTATTTAGCTAGCTACTGGCACTATCATGCTGACAGATTTGCATAAAATCCATATGTTGTTTTAAATTTATTCAGATGTTTTCTATTTATCCTTTCTATGCTTCAAAACTTGCTTCCATGCACATACAGTAAAAAGCCTGTGCAGATAAAAAGCAATGGATTAGTCCCCAGACTGCAAACTCTTATCTAAATCAGGTACATTTTAACCAGGTCTGACGACCATTAGATAGGAGTTGGATCTATAGTCAAACTGCTGTATTTTGTATTTGTATTTATTATGGATCCCCATTACTCTTCCTGGGGTCCAGCAAAATTAAGGCAGTTATACATTTTAAAAACATTACATTCATAACAGATTTCACAACATATTAAGTGTGTGCCCTCAGGTCTCTACTCTACTACCACATATCCACAACACAAAATCCATGTGTACATGTGTGTATAGTGCGTATGTTATCATGTGTTTGTATGCATGTGTCTATGTTTGTGTTGCTTCACAGTTCCCGCTGTTCAATAAAGTGTATTTTTATCTGTTTTTTAAATCTAATTTTACTGCTGGCATGAGTTACTTGATGTGGAATAGAGTTCCATGTAGTCATGGCTCTATGTAGTACTGTGTGCCTCCCATAGTCTGTTCTTGACTTGGAGAGTATGAAGAGACCTCTGGTGGCATGTCTTGTAGGGTATGCATGGATGTCCGAGCTGTGTGCCAGTAGTTCAAACAGACAGCTTGGTTCATTCAACATGTCAATACCGCTCAATAATACAAGTAGTGATGAAGTCAATCTCTCCTCCGCTTTGAGCCAGGAGAGATTGACATGCATGTTATTAATGTTAGCTCTCTGTGTACATCCAAGGGCCAGCTGTGCTTCCCTGTTCTGAGCCAACTGCAATTTTCCTAAGTGCCTCTTTGTGGCACCTGACTACACGACTGAACAGTCGTCCAGGTGCGACAAAACTAGGGCCTATAGGACCTGCCTTGTTGATAGTGCTGTTAAGAATGCAGAGCAGCGCTTTATTATAGAAAGACTTCTCCCCATCCTAGCTACTGTTGTATCAATAGGTTTTGACCATGAGAGTTTACAATCCAGAGTTACTCCAAGCAATTTAGTATCCTCAACTTGCTCATTTTCCACATTACTCATTGCAAGATTTAGTTGAGGTTTAGGGTTTAGTAAATGATTTGTCCCAAATACAATGCTTTTAGTTTTTTAAATACACTGCTCAAAAAAATAAAGGGAACACTAAAATAACACATCCTAGATCTGAATGAATTAAATAATCTTATTAAATACTTTTTTCTTTACATAGTTGAATGTGCTGACAACAAAATCACACAAAAATTATCAATGGAAATCAAATTTATCAACCCACGGAGGTCTGGATTTGGACACTACAGGCTGATCCAACTTTGATGTAATGTCCTTAAAACAAGTCAAAGTGAGGCTCAGTAGTGTGTGTGGCCTCCACGTGCCTGTATGACCTCCCTACAACGCCTGGGCATGCTCCTGATGAGGTGGTGGATGGTCTCCTGAGGGATCTCATCCCAGACCTGGACTAAAGCATCCGCCAACTCCTGGACAGTCTGTGGTGCAACATGGCGTTGGTGGATGGAGCGAGACATGATGTCCCAGATGTGCTCAATTGGATTCAGGTCTGGGGAATGGACGGGCCAGTCCATAGCATCAATGCCTTCCTCTTGCAGGAACTGCTGACACACTCCAGCCACATGAGGTCTAGCATTGTCTTGCATTAGGAGGAACCCAGGGCCAACCGCACCAGCATATGGTCTCACAAGGGGTCTGAGGATCTCATCTCGGTACCTAATGGCAGTCAGGCTACCTCTGGCGAGCACATGGAGGGCTGTGCGGCCCCCCAAAGAAATGCCACCCCACACCATGACTGACCCACCACCAAACCGGTCATGCTGGAGGATGTTGCAGGCAGCAGAACGTTCTCCACGGCGTCTCCAGACTCTGTCACGTCTGTCACATGTGTTCAGTGTGAACCTGCTTTCATCTGTGAAGAGCACAGGGCGCCAGTGGCGAATTTGCCAATCTTGGTGTTCTCTGGCAAATGCCAAACGTCCTGCACGGTGTTGGGCTGTAAGCACAACCCACACCTGTGGACGTCGGGCCCTCATACCACCCTAATGTAGTCTGTTTCTGACCGTTTGAGCAGACACATGCACATTTGTGGCCTGCTGGAGGTCATTTTGCAGGGCTCTGGCAGTGCTCCTCCTGCTCCTCCTTGCAAAAAGGCGGAGGTAGCATTCCTGCTGCTGGGTTGTTGCCCTCCTACGGCCTCCTCCACGTCTCCTGATGTACTGGCCTGTCTCCTGGTAGCGCCTCCATGCTCTGGACATTACGCTGACAGACACAGCAAACCTTCTTGCCACAGCTCGCATTGATGTGCCATCCTGGATGAGCTGCACTACCTGAGCCACTTGTGTGGGTTGTAGACTCCGTCTCATGCTACCACTAGAGTGAAAGCACCGCCAGCATTCAAAAGTGACCAAAACATCAGCCAGGAAGCATAGGAACTGAGAAGTGGTCTATGGTCACCACCTGCAAAACCAGTCCTTTATTGGGGGTGTCTTGCTAATTGCCTATAATTTCCACCTGTTGTCTATTCCATTTGCACAACAGCATGTGAAATATATTGTCAATCAGTGTTGCTTCCTAAGTGGACAGTTTGATTAGTGGTTGAGAGCGTTGTGCCAGTAACCGAAAGGTCGCTGGTTCTAATCCCTGAGCCGACTAGGTGAAAAATCTGTCGATGTGCCCTTGAGCAAGGCACTTAACCCTAAAAAGTAAGGGGCCTAGATAGCTGCCCTGGGGAATTCCTGATTCTACCTGGATTTTGTTGGAGAGGCTTCCATTAAATAACACCCTCTGTGTTATGATAGACAGGTAACTCTTTATCCACAATATAGCAGGGGGTGTAAAGCTAAAACACATACATTTATCCAGCAACAGACTATGATTGATAATGTCAAAATCCGCACTGAAGTCTAACAAAACAGCCCTCACCATCTTTTTATCATTAATTTCAGTCGACATCAGTCGTTTGTGTAAGTGCTTGTTGAATGTCCTTCCCTATAAGCGTCCTGAAAGTCTGTTGTCAATTTGTTTACTGTGAAATAGCATTTTATTTGTTAAAAAAATACTTATTTTTCACCATAATTTGCAAATAAATTCATTAAAAATCCTACAATGTGATTTTCTAGATTTTCTTTTCTCTCAATTTGTCTATCATAGTTTACGTGTAGCTATGATGAAAATTACAGGCCTCTCTCATCTTTTTAAGTGGGAGAACTTGCACAATTGGTGGCTGACTAAATACTTTTTCTCCCCACTGTATATTATCAAGCATTTCACACATGTTATCCAGATACGGACTGTTAGCACTTGGTGGTCTATAGCAGCTTCCTACCAGAATGGGCTTTAGGTGAGGCAGGTGAACCTGTAGCCATATTACTTCAACAGTATTTAACATGATATCCTCTCTAAGCTTTACAGGAATGTGGTTCTGAATATAGACCGCAACACCGCCCCCATTGGCATTTCTGTATTTTCTGTAAATGTTATAACCTTGTATTGCTACCACTGTATCATCAAAGGTATTATCTAAGTGAGTTTCAGAGATTGTGAAAATATCATCTGTTACTAGCAAATTATTGATTTCATGAACCTTGTTTCTTAAGCTACATATGTTAACGTGGGCTATTTTTAACACTTTTCTGGGATGCTTGATTATTTTTCTTGCTTTACTGGGAAGCTTAGCAGAGGTAGACATACTCAGGTTATTTTTATTAGTGCAGGATGAGCTGCACACAGTGGACGTCCTACTACGGCACACCACCTCAGTGCTAACAGTATTACTCTGGTTCATAGGCATATGATTACTGCATACAATAGTTGTAGTATCAGTAGAGACATTCTGGGTAGTAAGAGGGACATAAATTAGGTTATTTACATTGTGTCTTCCAATACCCCTAGGATAATGTACATTTGCTGAATCATTATGACAACTCAGCGACACAATGGTAGGGATTAAATGAGCTGGACTTGGGTCATTGATAAGTCATTGTCTCAATGCAGCCTTATAATGCTGTGAAAGGATCCAGGAACCCAAATGATTTGGGTGGATCCCATCCTCCTTATAAGACAATATTTGTTTCCAGAAGGTATCAAAATTGACGATAAATGTTACACGCACAGAGCTGCAATAGTTTTGTAGCCAGTTATGGAGGGCTAAAAGTCTGCTGAACCATTCAATGCCAGGATTTAGGGAGGGCAGAGTATTCTTGTATTCTGTAAATACAAGAATGGGAAATGTCTCCATGATACAGTCATGGAGAATGCATGGGTCCTGCAGTATGTATCCCTGCAGAGAAGACTACCCCTATTAGCATCATTAAATAATATAGCCAGTGTATACAGTGGGGAAAAAAAGTATTTAGTCAGCCACCAATTGTGCAAGTTCTCCCACTTAAAAAGATGAGAGAGGCCTGTAATTTTCATCATAGGTACACGTCAACTATGACAGGCAAAATGAGAAAAAATAATCCAGAAAATCACATTGTAGGATTTTTAATGAATTTATTTGCAAATGATGGTGGAAAATAAGTATTTGGTTAATAACAAAAGTTTCTCAATACTTTGTTATATACCCTTTGTTGGCAATGACACAGGTCAAACGTTTTCTGTAAGTCTTCACAAGGTTTTCACACACTGTTTCTGGTATTTTGGCCCATTCCTCCATGCAGATCTCCTCTAGAGCAGTGATGTTTTGAGGCTGTCGCTGGGCAACACGGACTTTCAACTCCCTCCAAAGATTTTCTATGGGGTTGAGATCTGGAGACTGGCTAGGCCACTCCAGGACCTTGAAATGCTTCTTACGAAGCCACTCCTTCGTTGCCCGGGCGGTGTGTTTGGGATCATTGTCATGCTGAAAGACCCAGCCACGTTTCATCTTCAATGCCCTTGCTGATGGAAGGAGGTTTTCACTCAAAATCTCACGATACATGGCCCCATTCATTCTTTCCTTTACACGGATCAGTCGTCCTGGTCCCTTTGCAGAAAAACAGCCCCAAAACATGATGTTTCCACCCCCATGCTTCACAGTAGGTATGGTGTTCTTTGGATGCAACTCAGCATTCTTTGTCCTCCAAACACGACGAGTTGAGTTTTTACCAAAAAGTTCTATTTTGGTTTCATCTGACCATATGACATTCTCCCAATCCTCTTCTGGATCATCCAAATGCACTCTAGCAAACTTCAGACGGGCCTGGACATGTACTGGCTTAAGCAAGGGGACACGTCTGGCACTGCAGGATTTAAGTCCCTGGCGGCGTAGTGTGTTACTAATGGTAGGCTTTGTTACTTTGGTCCCAGCTCTCTGCAGGTCATTCACTAGGTTCCCCCGTGTGGTTCTGGGATTTTTGCTCACCGTTCTTGTGATAATTTTGACCCCACGGGGTGAGATCTTGCGTGGAGCCCCAGATCGAGGGAGATTATCAGTGGTCTTGTATGTCTTCCATTTCCTAATAATTGCTCCCACAGTTGATTTCTTCAAACCAAGCTGCTTACCTATTGCAGATTCAGTCTTCCCAGCCTGGTGCAGGTCTACAATTTTGTTTCTGGTGTCCTTTGACAGCTCTTTGGTCTTGGCCATAGTGGAGTTTGGAGTGTGACTGTTTGAGGTTGTGGACAGGTGTCTTTTATACTGATAACAAGTTCAAACAGGTGCCATTAATACAGGTAACGAGTGGAGGACAGAGGAGCCTCTTAAAGAAGAAGTTACAGGTCTGTGAGAGCCAGAAATCTTGCTTGTTTGTAGGTGACCAAATACTTATTTTCCACCATAATTTGCAAATAAATTCATTAAAAATCCTACGATGTGATTTTCTGGATTTTTTTCCCTCAATTTGTCTGTCATAGTTGACGTGTACCTATGATGAAAATTACAGGCATCTCTCATCTTTTTAAGTGGGAGAACTTGCACAATTGGTGGCTGACTAAATACTTTTTTTCCCCACTGTAGGTATAATTCAAGTTTTTTTACCCACACATGTTCATGTAAGGTATGTCCGTTCTGTGGCCATACGGCTGTCTGATGGTTGCCATGGAGAGGTCAGGACTTTTTATTAAATCTTCCATTGGTATTCTCCATGTATTAAGCAGTCATAAAAAATGTAGTATGTAAAATGGGAGTGCAGCTGCACCGAAAGGGGCGGTTATGAAACAAACACTTACTGTCAAGGCTTACTGGTTTCATTAAAGCTAGGAGGAATAGTAAAAGCACAGTACATACCAGATTGTCCTTGAAAGGTATCCAAAATAGACACAAGAAAGCACCTTTAAGAGTCCCACATACATGTGGACACACAGGTTGGAGTGTACACACACACACTTACTTAAATGTGGTCCTCTGTAGCTCAGCTGGTAGAGCACGGCGCTTGTAACGCCAGGGTAGTGGGTTTGATCCCCGGGACCACCCATACACAAAAAAATGTATGCACGCATGACTGTAAGTCGCTTTGGATAAAAGAGAGCAGGGAACACATGCACACACTCACAGACACACACATAGACACACACAGAGACTCGTACCTGTCCTGGTCGGCACTACGGAAGCGGGGGAGGATCATGTGGCGGAAGCTGCTGGTGCGGTCCAGTTTGGGCTGACTCTTAGCCCTCTTGATAGAGCCCTTCAACCTTCTACTGAGGAAACTCTGAACAGGGCAGCAATGGAGAGAGGGAGGAGGAGGTGAAGAATGAGAAGATGTGAAACAGGGATGAGAGAGGGGGAGAGAGAGAGAGGGAGGGTAGCAGGAAAAGAGATAGATCAAAGTTATAGAGAGGGAAAATAGGGTGGGTGTGAGTAAAGAAAGATGGACATTTTGGGCCCAAAATGGATTTGAAGAAATGGAGGACGTATGTGATTTAGTGAATGACAGATGCATGAAGGGGGAGAGCAACAAAGATTTATTACATATTATATCAGTCATACAGCCACAGTTCAGCAGTAGTAGAATAGTGTAGTATCATCTGATAACCAATAGTGGGTGGTGTTGTGCCATAAATATACCCATAATCCAACAGCATACACTGGACCTCAGTAAAAATAGGAGCTTCATATTGCGGTGCAGTTGTCCTGTATGTGCTTCCATGCAACCATATTCCCCTGATTTTGATTAGCTGATTTTGTCAATATATAACACAGGTTTTAAATAACATGCTGTGTGTTGACACTGTGTCTTTTATAAGAAGTGCTGACAGAGAGAACATGGCTTCAATAGTAGAATGAAAACCAATGAATGATGTCATTCTCCGCAACATACAGTATAGGGTTCCATATACGACTACTATACAGCCTATTCCTCTCAGAGTGAAAGGAGAGACATGCTGCTATTGTATCTGAATAACAGCCTCACAATGCTTTTTTGACAGTCTTACAATACTGAATCACCTAAATTCAGCTTCTCTCCATGTCTAACATCCACTCAGATATCAAACTGCACATTGCACATCAACATTGAACACTACATTCTGGGAGGAATTTGTCTGAATCGAGACAAACCATTCACTTTTTGTGAGCTTTGTGTCACTGAAGTCTGTTTTAAAGAAGTGACTAAAGATTTGACTCATTTGCTGACCGTCACGGTAACCGACTGGTTGGACTAGATAAGTCATTCTGGCTTGATTAGCCGGCCTGTCTGACACTTTTAAGCCTCATTCAGTCAGAAGAACTGAATCACAGTGGTGGATCACATTTGGCACAGGGAACAGAAAACTCCATAGCATTTGGCAAAGGACATAACATAAAGTTTAGTTATTTTTTTTCACCACATACAGAGACATCTGAGTCATGTACCTCGATGGGAGGCAGAGGTGCAATATGGCGTCCCGTCACTGGGCTGGAAGCGGCAACCCTCCAGTCCCCCGGCCAATTAGAAGAAGGGGGGGAGTGGGGGAGACTAAGAGAGAGGCAGGGGGAGAGGGGCAGCGAGCGAGGGAGAGGGGGTGTACCGACCCCTTTCTTGTAGCGTTGCTGAGGGCAGGAGTGGCCATGGGGGAGGGAGGGGGAGAGAGAGGGTGAGAGGGCGAGGGGGAGGGAGAAGGGGAAGGGAGGGGTTCCACTGGCCCTGCGACAGGTGTGCGGTGGGGAGTGAGAAGGGAGGGAGAGAGAGAGGGATGGGGGGAGCGAGCGAGGGCGGGAGGATGGAGGGGTACTCACGGATTGTCGGAAGGGTTGGGGGGGGGCAGTGGGAGGGATCTCCATGCTTGGCTGCTTCACGTTGGCTATGCTCTTCCGCCGGGCGCGAGCGTTCTCTGAGAGAGAGAGGGAAGAAGACAGGTAAGAGAGAGAGAGAGAGAATCCAAAAGACAGGTGAGAGAGAGGATGAGCGAGAGAGAGAGAGAGAGAGAGAGAGAGAGAGGGCATGGACATGGCATGTGGTCAGGGGGGAGACAGGAGCGAAAGAGAGAAGATACACACAGTGCAGACATACGGTCAGGGGAGAGAGGAAAAGTGTAAGAAACCGACAAGTAAGGTGAAAACACAGAAGGTGAAGTGAAGGTAGAGTGTGTACAAAAAAAGCAAGGGAGAGAGCAAGAGAGCGAGGTTAAGGGTGAGAGAAGCAATGTGATGATAATGTCCCATTCACCCTGATCTCCCTCATCCCCTACTTCTTCTCATCCTACCAGGAAAATGAAGGATGGAGATGGAGAGCTGCATGGGAAGTAAGTTGAAAAAGGAGGACAGAGGAGGGATGAGGTGAGTGAGTGAGTTGAAAGGGATGGGTTTTCTGCCTGGCCGTTCAACGAGGCAAACGTTCACAATCGGTGGGGGAGGGGAGAGAGGAGGAAGGGAGCAGGCGGAAGCATTAACAAACAAAGCACCTATTGATCTCCGTCTGTGAGTCCCTAATGCAGTGAATTAGGCAGTAAGGGAATACACTCTGTACTATCCATGATGGATGGCAGAGGAGACCAGTGGACGGACAGTAGAGAAGATGGAGCACACAAGCCCACTCTAACACTCTGTACTCTCCATGATGGAAGGCAGAACACTCTGTACTATCCATGATGGAAGGCAGAACCCACTGGACACAGACGTCAATTCAATGTCTATTCCACGTTGGTTCAACGTAATTCCGTTGAAATGACGTGGAAACAACATTGATTCAACCAGTGTGTGCCCAGTGGGAGGAGACCAGTGGCTGGACAGTAAAGAAGATCTGTGAAAGGCAAGGAGAGGTTAACTAATGTATGCAGCATCATAGAAAGAAGGGAGTAGGAATGAAAGCGTGAAAGCATCTGAGGCCAGTTCATTACGGTCTTTCTTTCTTTCTTTCTTTCCCTCCCTATCCCTTTCTCTGCTACCCTCTTTTGAGATAGATCAATGATAACATCGTCATATTTGAGGCTATAAATATTCTTCCTGTCTCTTATTTCTCTCTCTCTCTCTCTCTCTCTCTCGCTCTCTCTCTCTCTCTCTCTCTCTCTCTCTCTCTCTCTCTCTCTCGTATTCTCTGTCTCTCTCTTTCTCCCTCCCTCTCTTCTCCCTCTCTCTTTCATCCACTCTCTTTCTTTCCCTCTTTCTCTCGCTCTCCCTGGTTCTGCTATCACACAGACACACAAATACTCAGGCATACACCCACTCCTCCTTTCTCCCACGCAGCTATTTTACATAATTCAAAAGTGCATTTATCCTCTCCTCTCTCCAGCCTCTCATCGCTCTCTCTTTCCTCTCCTCACTCTTCTCATTTTCACATGATCCTGTCTTTCCCGTCACTTAGTAATGTATCTTGTCTCCTCCATCCTTTTCCTTCATCCTCCTTTCATTTATCTGCATTCCTTAATTTTATCTAGTCTCTACATTCCCTCTACTTCTCAAAATGGCAATCTTTTCTCATGACTCTGCTGTCATGCTACTTTCCTCTGCCCACGTACTGAGCTGAGCGAGCGCCTTAGGGAAGGATCCTCATTGTGATGATAACCATGTCAACGAATCACAGAGGGTTATGAAATCCAAAAGGGTGTATGTCCATAATACACAGCAGAAAATCCAAAGACCAATGAACCAACTGCTAGTCCATCATTGTCCTTTGTAAAGGAATTATGGGAAGCACAAAGGATCTTAATTTGATCACTCTTTTGTTGCTGAGAATGTTCCTGCACAGCAGGAAATTTTAACTTGTAGTGTATTTCAGTTTTAAAAAGGCTTCTAAAGTTTGTAATTTCAACTTTACAATTTCAGACTTGATTTACCCTAATGAAAAATGTATCAAACTCTACAAAAATGTCCCTTAGTTATAATAATTCATATTACCTGTTGCTCCAGGATTGTTTTCCTGCTGTAGCAAACTGGCTCAAATTAAGATCCTACATCTGTATTGAGGTAGTTATCATACTAAGGGACCTGAGTTTTTCTGACCACATAACCTGACCAGGAAAACTACAGGCTCTAGTCACCCTGGTGTCAGTTATGACAGAGACAAAACATCATTACTAGGGACCAGAGTTTTTCCTGACTATGTGACCTTTTCCCGGTCAGTTCACATAGTAGGAAAATGTCAGGACAATAGTAATTATGTATGTACTCCAAACACAGCCCCAATCAAAATACAACAGAGACATAAACTAAGAGGTGTATCATTTCCTCCTGGAACTATTGTTCCCAAAACTAATTAGTTACAATTAGTAGATTGTAGCCATGTCTGAGTAGCTAAATGAAAACACAGTCCTAAGGTGTGACCGCTCTGTAGCTTTAGCTAGCTAGACATTTAGATAAGCTGGAACCAGTCAGCAACTTGGCGTCTTGCTCTCTCCCTGAGGGTGAAAACGTTGTCCTTTGTTGCCAGTTTAGATTCATAAGATTCTCTGATAATATTGGCCTTATTGCATTCAATGGAGGATTTCATTGGGAAAAAGCTTTGATTTGTTTGGAGATCTACCAAGTCATTTTCTTTACTATTTTCAATGCATAGTCTACTATGTGATAGAGGTTATTCAAAAAGACAGCAAATATTATTCTTATGAATGTTTTTTGTGTGTGTGTATGACTGTAAAGGCTGGTTGGGTCACACTTAATTTGGATCGTCCAGATATTCCATCTGTAGATGCTCTACAGATGGTCATACTATCAACAAACTATCTGTTGAAAAGTAACTGCATGCTAAGGTTACAGGGTTAGGTTTAGAATAAGGGTTACGTAAGGGTTAAGGTTAGGGTTAGGGCTAGGGTTAGGCCTAGGTTTAGGGTTAGTAGATAGTTAGTTTAAATGTTACTGATAGTCTGTAGATAGTCTGTAGAGCATCTACAGATGGGCTATCCAAATAAAGTGTTACCGCTGGTTGTCATGGGTTACCCCTCTTGAAATCTTTGGGTTTTGTGTTCTGATATGATTGGCTAATGAAGCCTTTTGTTCGATTTGAAAGTGCACAGAGCCTTGCAGGGTGAGTTTACGGAAATAGGAAATAGTGTCAGTAAGGTCGTTTCGTATCTGCTGTTCACCACCAATGGCCTTCACTCAAAGCTCTCAAATCACAGAGTGAAGCCAAACCTGACATTGTCAAAGTGTTTATACTCAAAGTGTTTATACAATAAAGGCTCCGATGCTTCCCTACTAACAGAACAAACCCTTGAGATCTCCTTAGCATAATGCTTGCTAGACAACACAACAATAATTTGGCAAAGTCTGAGTGTCATTTGGCTCAGTAAATTAATGTTTGGTAATGATTATGAACAAAATACTTCAATATATCTGATAGGCTGCAGTTAGTCATAAGAGCTTTGTGCCTAAGAAAACCTCAGACACATGATAGTATTACTAGGATTAATGATCCATTTCACTACAATATTTTGGTAATATAAAATCAACATTACATTTATTACACCACTTTTTTCTCATTATGGCACATTTTTGCAATCGCTGAGCAAGGATTTCTGCCCCATTTAAACATAACGTGTTAATTGCTTTATCTACAAAGAAACAATATTACGGTGTTGAGATTTTGAGTCATTGCGGTTTGACCTCCAAAAGTGAATATTTCAAAGCTTTACAAATGCCAACAGTCTTTGTTCCAATTCCTTAGTGATATGCAAACTTACAAGAAAGGATATGAGGCAGTGTAGTGCATACTAATCTCCACTAGTAATGTACTGTAGGGCTACGTTCCAATGTCCATACTAGCATACTACTTAGCATACTACTTGCCCAATGCGTTAGCAAACTTCATTCTAGATGGTATGCTTGTGTGTAACAGAGCCACAATGTATAACTGACCAGAGATGACATACTATGGGTAACTTTCTGTTCAATACTGAAAAAGGAAAAACCTGCACTTGTTTTTTCCTTCTTCAGTATTCCTTTTGAACCAGGCACCCACATACTTTTTATTACGACAAACATTTCCTCTTACTACAATTCACTACTCTAGAAATGCCATAAGCAGACGTAAATGACAAGTGACCTAACACTATTATGTATGGTTCATGGTACACAAGATCATCTGGGGTCTGGGCTAGCTTGTCACTTGATATTGGGAAAGTATAGTCCCACGTGTCATAGCAGCCATATGTAATTTTTGTATGAACTGAAATCAGATGTTACGAAGTAGGAGGGGAGAGGGGAATCATGCTATTGAAATCATAACAGCATCGTATGCAGTACCAGTCAAAAGTTTGGACACACCTACTCATTCCAGGGTTTATCTTTATTTTTACCTTTTTCTACATTGTAGAATAATAGTGACGACATCAAAACTATGAAATAACACATATGGAATCATGTAGTAACCAAAGAAGTGTTCAACAAATCAAAATATATTTGAGATTCTTCAAATAGCCACCCTTTGCCTTGATGACAGCTTTGCACACTCTTGGCATTCTCTCAACCAGAATGATAGTCCCACTAAGCCCAAACCAGATGGGATGGCATATCGCTGCAGAATGCTGTGGTAGCCATGCTGGTTAAGTGTGCCTTGAATTCTAAATAAATCACAGACAGTGTCACCAGCAAAGCACCCCCACACCATAACACCTCCTCCTCCATGCTTTACGGTGGGAACTACACATGCAGAGATCATCCATTCACCCATACCGCGTCTCACATAGACACGGCGGTTGGAACCAAAAATGTCAAATTTGGACTCCAGACCAAAGGACAAATTTCCACTGGTCTAATGTCCTTTGCTCGTGTTTCTTGGCCCAAGCAGGTCTCTTCTTCTTATTGGTGTCCATTAGTAATGGTTTCTTTGTAGCAATTCTACCATGAAGGCCTGATTCACACAGTCCCCACTGAACAGTTGATGTTGAGATGTGAAGCATTTATTTGGGCTGCAATTTCTGAGGCTGGTAACTCTAATGAACTTATTCTCTGCAGCAAAGGTAACTCTGGGTCTTCCATTCCTGTGGCGGTCCTCATGAGAGCCAGTTTCATCATAGTGCTTGATGGTTTTTGCGACTGCACTTGAAGAAACTTTCAAAGTTCTTGAAATTGTCCGTATTGACTGACCTTCATGTCTTAAAGTAATGATGGACTGTCGTTTCTCTTTGCTTATTTGAGCTGTTCTTGCCATAATATGGACTTGGTCTTTTACCAAATAGGGCTATCTTCTGTATACCCCCCCTACCTTGTCACAACACAACTGATTGGCTCAAACGCATTAAGAAGGAAAGAAATTCCACAAATTAACTTTTAAGAAGGCACACCTGTTAATTGAAATGTATTCCAGGTGACTACCTCATGAAGCTGGTTGAGAGAATGCCAAGAGTGTGCAAAGCTGTCATCAAGGCAAAGGGTGGCTATTTGAAAATATATTTTAATTTGTTTAACACTTTTTGGTTACTGCATGATTCCATATGTGTTATTTCATAGTTTGATGTCTTCACTATTATTATACAATGTAAAAAATACTAAAAATAAAGAAAATAGGGAAAGGATGGCGGGGTTGAAAAGTAATAAAGGGGAGTATATACAGTGGGGGAAAAAAGTATTTAGTCAGCCACCAATTGTGCAAGTTCTCCCACTTAAAAAGATGAGAGAGGCCTGTAATTTTCATCATAGGTACACGTCAACTATGACAGACAAATTGAGAGAAAAAAAATCCAGAAAATCACATTGTAGGATTTTTAATGGATTTATTTGCAAATTATGGTTGAAAATAAGTATTTGGTCACCTGCAAACAAGCAAGATTTCTGGCTCTCACAGACCTGTAACTTCCTCTTTAAGAGGCTCCTCTGTCCTCCACTCGTTACCTGTATTAATGGCACCTGTTTGAACTTGTTATCAGTATAAAAGACACCTGTCCACAACCTCAAACAGTCACACTCCAAACTCCACTATGGCCAAGACCAAAGAGCTGTCAAAGGACACCAGAAACAAAATTGTAGACCTGCACCAGGCTGGGAAGA